AAATTTTGAATTTGGGTGGGTAGCAAATGCCAATGCCAAATGGGTATCATTCAGGCTGGTGGGCCAACTTTGGAGTTCTCCAATGATTCTTTTTCCAGTCATCAATTGATTATTCCGGATCCTCCTTAATTTCTTCTTATTAATTATTATTTAATAATTAATACAAACAAATTAAAAATATATATATTACCACGATTTATTGAACTTTTCCCCCTTTTTTATTTTTATTAAAATAAAAAAAAATAACAACTCATTCCATCATATACTCTGAGTAGGTTTAACTTTATGAAATGAAACTTTAAATTTAATTAAATAAAAAAAAATATTGAATTTTGAATAGAAATATTTTCAAGAAAATTGACCATATAATAAAAAAAGTATCTCATAAGCTGTCGGTTCCCATGCTTAGCTCTTTGGATCTCGTGTTACCATCCACTCTTATTTAAATATTTAAATATTTTATTTTTTTAAATGTTAATAATAAATAATTAAATTAAAAAAAAAAAAACCCAACTTGAATTTCCTCTCTTTAATGGACACGTCCATTTTTACAGCTATTTTTGGATTTTATTTCACTTACAATGTATTAATCGTTTTTATCATCATAATTCTTTTGCTTATTATTCTATTTATGATTAAACATAATTTTGATAAATACTCGAATTTCGAAAAATAATATCATTTTAACATAATATATAAAAAAAAAAAGTATATTGCATGCAGCACGTGCTATAAATCCTTTCATAGCCAATTAAAATAACATATATTAAAAGGTTTTTCGTCTTAAATTAAATTTAATTATTACTTTTAATTTTTTAAAATAGACCGTTTTACCCTCCTCCCAAGAAAAGGGCACTTGAACTTTGACGAGCACGTGAGCTGAAATATTTTGATGCCCTTTATTAGAGAGAAACGGGTAAAAACGTCTTTATACTTTCCAAAAGATTTTAAATACTAGACTTATTATAAAAATGAAAGTGACTTTTAATAAGTAAAAACTTTATTCAATTCATATTCATAAAAATAAAAAAAAAGGTAAAATTAATAAATTTTTTTCGAGTAAAAATTATTGAATTTTAATTCTAATATGTTAATTTGTACAATTTACTCCGAATGAAGTATTTAGTTTTAAAATTTTAAATTCCAAAAGGTTTTAACTAATAATAATTAAAAAAAATAAAAGTAAAAAATGAAAGCAAAAGAGTGAGGATTGGGAAAGTACGATAATGGTCATGGCTAGACTGAAGTTATTTCTGTAATAATAACGTGGCTATATTTGACTGGTCAATGAACTAATAATAATAAATAATAAAGAAAGAGAAAAAGAAAAAGAAAAAATGCCACGTCTATATTTAAAATTTAAATATATAGTTTGGATTAGTTGTAATATAATTTTTATAATTTTAAAAGTTTTAATTAATCAAATCTCAAATGTTGTTTATAAATTTGTCTTACCTATATTTTTATACATACATACATACATTCATACATACATGCATGCATACACATACAGAAAGTGCTTGCTTCTGGTAGGGTAATAACCAATGGTATTAATATAAGTGGGAGTGAGAGATGTGTACCGTAATTGGAGCGTGCAGTTCACTCGCGTATATTCAAACAGTTTCTCTGAAGTCCAATCCAAGCCCAAAGCGCGCACACAGAGCCTCTGGGTTCAGTCAAATTCTGGTCTTCCCTTTCAAAACCAAATTCAACAACAATTCTCTCTCTAAACCCACAACAAAAAAAAAAGAAAAAAAAGAAAAAAAAGAAGAGTTTGTAAAATCTCGCCACGTTCTGAGAAAACCCAGATTGGTTTATGAATCCTTTGCTTCTTCTGCAACTTCTCAACAACACCCACCTCTGCTTCTCTGGCCTTCAATTTGACCCCTCTTCTCCACGTTCATCTGGGTTTGGTTGTCTGTAACCGGATCCATCTTGAATGTTCCAGAAATGGATGATGAGATTGTCGATGAACACTCATTCATTGACATTGGAAATGGAAGCAGCCCAGCAGAGGATGACTATGTGGATACGTTACTTGCAAAAGAGATGAGCTTCGGGTTTAGAAATGATAAATCTTTGGTGTTTGGGAACTGGGTCAAATGCGCCCGTTTGGAAGCAATTGCATGGATTCTCAAAGTTGGTCTTTTTTTTACCTTTTTTTGTTTGTTTCTTTGTTTGATTCATTCAATTCGACTCAATTGACGTGACGATTGTTCTAATTTGACAGACCAGAGCTGTGTTTGGATTCGGTTTCCAGACTGCTTATCTTTCAATTATGTACCTCGATCGCTTCCTTTCTCGGCGGGCCATTACTGTAAGCTTTCACTTTCTCCATTTCCTCTGGCAATGGCTTATTGATTTTGGTCTGTTAATCCAAACCTCCATGGCTGCAGAACGAGAAGGTGTGGGCAGTTAGGTTACTGGCAGTGGCTTGTCTTTCTTTAGCGGCGAAAATGGAGGAATTGAAGGTTCCAGCTCTTTCAGAATTTCCAGTGGAAGATTTCAACTTTGAAAGCAAAGTAATCCAAAGAATGGAGCTTTTGGTGTTGAACACATTGGAATGGAAGATGGGTTCAACAACTCCCTTCTCTTTCATTCCTTATTTCATATCTAAACTATCCATTGAATCCCCACCAAGCAATAAGGTTTCTCAGATTGTTGAACTCATCTGGGTTTTGATTAGAGGTATTTTCATTCAACTGATGTTCATCAGTTCATCAATCGGGTTTTGTTCATTCATTACATTCAAATCTTGAATGCAGAAAGAAGCACAGAAAACCATCGGCCTTCTGTTGTAGCAGCAGCCACAGCCATTTTAGCAGCAATGGATGACAGATTAACAAGGAAAGCCTTGGAAATGAAGATGAATACCATTTCTCAATGTAGATATCTCGAAATAGTAAGTTCCATCAACAAATTGGGACCCTTTTTGTTCCTGTTTTCCAATACTCTATTCAGCTGAATCCTTTGTGTTCACAGGAAGATGTGGTTTCATGTTACAATCTGATGCAAGAACTGAGATTGGAAAAATGCAGAGAAGAAGCAGAATGTTTGAAATCGCCAGATTTATCACCAACCCAAATGAAATCAATGGATTGTTCATCAAATTCTTCAGTAACATCAGCGATTGCATCAAAAAGAAAACGGCTAAACTTCAGTAACTGTGATGAAGAATGTGGTGTGGGTGAAGCAAAGCGGCTCCGTTAAGAGAAGCGAAAAAAATGAGGAGTGTTTTTTTTGTCTGTTTAAATTTTCTCCTTCTCACAAATGACTTGTGATGATTATTAGGGGGTTTTATGATACAATAATGGCTTGATTTGTTGGTTTATTCATGAGGTTTTCTCAGAAAACAAGCAAATGCAGAAAGAAGAGAGAAATTAAAAAGAAAAAGGGGGCAGATTTATTGGGGTGCATCTGTGCATGTAAAAATAGGAAAAGTGAAAGGTGAAGAACAAAAGCTGATTCTGATATTTATTAGGGCAAAGTGATAGGGAAGGACCAGGAGGCCATAAGGGGGGCGAGGGAGGAGGGGGCTTGAAAGAAAGCTGCTACTGCTACTGCTGCTTATAGGACACTCTTACTAGATGTTCACTTTCACTCTCTTTGCTTAAATGGGTTCGTTCTTTTGTTTATTTATTTATTTTTACTGCTTTTTTGGTCCTCTTTTAGCTGTCTCTGCAAAACCCTGGCTTTTCAAGGGATGCTGGGTGGATGCTTTCTTGGTTGTGTGTCTTTGAAAAGGCTGTACGAAAGTTGAGAAGTGAAAGTAAGAGGCTCTCTCGCTCTCTCGCTCTCTCGGGGGTGTGGGGGGGGGGGGGG